GAAAGAAATCAGATGATGTATTGCACCGGGCAAATCTACTGCAGAATACCTCTTTAAAATCTTAAAAAGCAAAGACATAACTTTGATGAGTAAAGTACGCCTGACTGAAGGCAAGGTATTTTCAATTGCCTCATATGCATGCAAAACTGGACAGTGAAAATGGAAGACCAAAGAAGAATGGACACATTTGAATCATGATGTTGGGGAAGAATATTGAATATATCATGGATTCTCAGTAGAAGGATCAAATCTGTCTTGGAAGAAATGCAGCTAGAATGTTCTTAGAAGTAAGGATGGAAAGACTTTGTCTTGCTTACTTTAGACATGTTATGGGGCAGGACCAATGCTTGGAGAAACACCTCATGCTTGGTAGAGAGTCAGTGAAAAAGAGGAAGACTCTCAATGAGATAGAATTGATACAGTGGCTGCAGCAATGGGCTCAAACATTATCTACTACTGTGAAGATGGCACCAGACTGAGCAATGTTTCATTCTGTTACACACAGGGTTGCTAAGAGTCAGAACAAACTTGATGGAATTTGATAACAACATTCCTCCTCACAGAAGACATCTGACAGTCTCTTGGTCACCCTGAATTTTAGGGTAGACTTGGCACCTGGCTTATTGTCTCTTTTCCTCTGTCTCATACCCTGCTGACATTTTATGTGATTCACCCATATGAACAACCCATTCAGTACCATTTGATTGTAATTTTATTATATTATTTAAGTATTACTTATTTTGGTACACTACTGTTCTTTCTAAGGAGCTCTGGTAGCATACTGCCTAAGGCACTTGACTGCTAACCAGAAGGCTGGCAGTTCAAATCCACCAGCCACTCCTCGGAAAGAAGGCTGGGCAATCTACTTCCATAGTGATACTGCCTCAGCAACCCAAGGAGGGGTTGCTATGAGTCGGGTCTGACTTGATGGCACATAACAACAACAGTGTTCTTTCTCATTTACTTTAATCACTAAATGTTTATCTTATTTCAATATTTCACAAGACTGTCTTTGATAAAAAAGTACAAATCAAAAAGGAAAAATAAATTAATTTTAGCTGCTCCTGAGGTGTATTCAATGCACTTAATTTTAATGAAAGTGATAACCAAGTGGATTTTGGTTTATCTTTAAAAACTCTTAACAAGCAGTTCCCAACCCCTGGAGATTTATTATTTGTAAATGAACCTGTACCTGATGTACACCAAAATCAGCCCAAAATACTTCTCCTAACACTTTTAGATTTTAATAAAACCACCCAAGTATTACTGACAAGTGCATTATACAGATGTAAAGTTTCTAGTAGGAAGCAAAACTGAATCACTAGCCAGAAGAACATTCTGAGTGAAATTCCCCGAAACAATGTGAAACTTTCAAAACATAATTTTAATACCAATGACAGAACAAGTACCCCTTGCTTGATTTCATCTCCCTCAGTGAAAATGTTGTTATGTGCCGTCGAGTTGGACCTGACTCATAGCGACCCCTCCTTGGGTTGCTGAGGCAGTATCACTATGGAAGTAGATTGCCCCATCTTCCTCAGTGAATAGTCACACCTAAACTTGGTCTTCAAAAGAAACAAAAGTAACTTTTACTTAACCTCTACAACCATGTGTGGTAGATGTGGCAGGGGAATGCTGCTGAAGTAGGATTCTGTCATGCCATCTACATCAAGACAGACAAAATAGTTTATCTGCTTGTTGCTACCCACACTAGCAGAAAAACATGCTTAGGGAAGTGCAACTCCAAGCAAGTGACCCCTGACAATAGGTTGAGATAGTCTAGTTAAGACTCCTTGTCTCAGATGCATCAGCTAGCAGGAATGATGACTAGGATGGTAAAAGGAAGGGGGAAAAAAAAAACTGAACTCTGGATTCTGTGCCCTTTGTTAATGTAAAAGTAGAAGGAACCAACATTTAATACTTTATCAAATTTATTGATGCAAGCCTTGTGATAGGCACTTAACATTACTTTGTCACATTTTAACAAACACACATACACACACACACAATCCTATGATATAGATACTACTATCCCCTTCTGACAGAAGGGAAAACGAGCTCAGAGAGATTAATAAATGTGTCTAAGTTACCAAGTATTGGTACAACTCAGATACAAATGACATACTGTGAGCTGTTCTTGTTACATTTACTAAGCTTATTTGGAAACTACTTATAGGGGTCGCTATCAGTTGGATCTAACTCGATGGCAGTGTGCTTGCTTGCTATGCAATACTTTGTGACTTTTCTAATAAACTTTCATTACCGTTATTTAAAATTTTTATTTATAAACATAATTTTGACCTTTGTATCCCTGCCTCGGGAGCTCTGTAGCGTAGTGCCTAAGGCACTTGACTGCTAACCAGAAGGCTGGTGGTTCAAACCCACCAGCCACTCCTCGGAAGGAAAGTTGGGCAATCTACTTCCGTAGTGATACCGCCTCAGAAACCCAAGGAGGGGTCGCTATGAATTGGGTCCAACTTGATGGCACACAGCAACAACAAATAACATTCCTGCCTCAGGCCCATGCACATAGGAGGCTCTAATATAGTTCCTAAATTCAACTTACAAGAAAAAGAAAAACAACAACATGTATTTTCCCTTTCTACTTCTCCTTCTAACTGTTTTAACTATTGTCACCAAATTGACCATTATATCTTTTCATGTTACAATTTTCAACTCAGTCTTTCAGAGAAAGGGGTAGGATGAGTTTCCTCAAAAGGAAAATATTCCTCATGTCATAATAGAGTCAATAGGAAATAGGAATCCTTTAACAAAGATGAACAACTATTATCAGAAATAATCTAAAGTCTATAATTAGGTATATCTGTAAAAATCTAATTTTAACTAACCTACTAAAGACCTACACATCAATTTAAGCAATGTACTTCTTTCAAAGATGTAAAGTACTTCTTTCAGGTCACTTCTTGTGAAGAGAGTAAGTCCCTGGGTTAAGAACATCTGGCTTAAGGAAAAGTCTGGACTGCCATAAAGCCTACTGAATTAAAAAAAATGAGTTAAACACAGTGGTTCATAACAAGGAAGCTATGCACTACTTTGTTACACCCATAAAAACACTGCATAGCTTCAGTGGTTCTTTGGAAGAATACCGTCATCCTTTAAGTCAGATCACATTGCCATTAACCCTGTCTTTGGTGTGTAACTTTTTATTTGGTTTAAATTTTCCTCTTATTTACTGCTGTAACCGTGGCTCCAAAGCATAAATCCAGTGCAAGTGCTAGAGGTGTAACAAAGAAAAGGAAAATGTTTGAGGAGGAAAATATGGATCTAAAACCTCCAGAACCAAAGAAGTTTTTGATGAAGCAGAGATAGCAAAGTTAGAGTATCAAGATCCTACTAATACAGAGTTTCACCAAAGTTTATTGTACAGTTACTGAGGGCCTCACCTGCTATAAGGCCATTTATGATGAGAACAAAAAAGCTCTGCACAAAAACCTCCCTTGATGCCTACTTTAAGAAATTGACTCCAGTAACAAACCCAGCCTCCAGCAGCAGAATCAAACCCTGACTCTCCAGTACCAGGTCCATCCTCTCCGATACCATCATCTTCAATGGTAGCCATCTCTCCATCATCTTCTCCTGCATCATCCAATTATTAATGTTATCATGTTACCTCACAAATGCCCCTTCTGGTATGCAAGAGATAAATGGAACAAGAGTAAAAGTATTTACTTTAATCATGATTTTTTTTCTTTTTCCTATCTAAACTGCTTTAAGAACTGTTTCTTTAATGCTTTTTTACACTGCTGTATAACTACACACACACACACACACACACAAACTGTCTTCAGTATAATACTGTAGGTAGTTATTTTATTACTACTGTATTATTATGTACTGTATTGTTATTTTTAAGATATTTTAAGTGTATTTGGAAGTGTTTCTTTAGTGTTTGATATGCATAGACATATAGACTACTAAAGGCAAACATCTGATTAACTGATGCTAAAGAAGGGTTAGTGATACTGCCTCGGAAACCCAAGGAGGGGTCGCTATGAGTCGGGTTTGACTCGACGGCACATAACAACAACAACAACAACAACAAAGAAGGGTTAATGTCTCTCTTCCGACTTTACTACAAATTAGACTTAAAGACAGACTTAGGAATGGATCTTGTTTGTAGTTAGAGGACTGCCTGTACTACTTTATAAATAAAGTTGTACATGGTGAGGTAATGACAAGAGGGATAAAGGTTCTTTTTGAAAGTGGCAGCACAGTATTCTCTGCTGCTGAATAGAACATACACTGTGAAGTACATCTGCAGAGCAGATAATTCTCACCAGAAAAGTAGCTCTCTCAAATAGAAGTACTTCATCAGCCTCGATAATTTCAGCAAAATTTCTTAGGTTCATTTCCAGTTGCTGAACATTGGGAATCAGCTGATAAACAATGCTGGACCAAGCCTAACAGAACAGAAGCACAGTGTAATGTTACTAACATGTAGCCAGTTCTAGACCTTTGCAAATAAATACACTATAACAAATGAACAGCAAAATATGGTGATAATCCAGTTCCAAACAAACACTAAAAGGAAGTATGATGTAACACAAATTAAATCAGAAAATGACGCTCATATTTGATTTTTATCCTTCAGTAGGATTTTTTTTCCAAGTTCAATAACTTTGTAAAATGCTGATGAAATTTCTTTCCAACAATAATTAAAAGAGTAATTTAATTCCACAATGTAGTCTTAAGAAAAAAAATTAAAAAATCTGATCTATTGTGCTAAAATGGTTCTAATCTACCTTTTAAACAAATGTTTAACTCTAATAGTGTAGAACACTCTGTAAGATCAGAACATAATAATGCTTTGTTCAACATACATCCAAGAATCAATTCTGTGAAAATACCAGAGCAACATGGATAAATAAATGCCCTTCTTTTGAATGAGATAATATACCATTTCAAGACAAATTAGTGGCATTATCATTCCAAAAGTTTTGCTGTCATCTGTATAAATTATTGATTCAATTGAATTAAAAATGTTCCACCGTGTGTTTACGTAAAAGTAACTTCATCCAGAGGAGTATAACTAATGTAAAGAGTTGAAATTATCCACACCCTCCCTCTGTTCTCTTAAGGTTATTTTATTTGTATTTCAATTATGACACTCCCTTCAATATCACTCCAATTTGTCTGATCAGGTGTATGCTATTCTTGTCTCACCTACTACAGGGCAGGAACCTGGTCTCAGTCATTTGTGTATCCAACAGCATCAAACAGATATGTAATGAGTGCTTGTTGAATAAAACTTAATATAAAAATTTAAGTCAGCTCTATGCAACATTGATGTAAGAGACAGTAGTGTCATGTCTATGTTCCAATTAGTTTTATTACTTAGGCATGGGGATTCAGGTTCCAAGTTCCCAGGTCGGTGTTAATGTCACTGCTGAATTTACCTTGGAGAAGGCACCAAAGCTAACCACAGCAGAGACATTGTCACTCACAGCAGTGTTGTGATTAGTCAATTGTCTTTGGTCGTGTTATGTATTGCCATCCTTCACACCGCAGTTGGTTCTTATCAATGCGTCATGTCCATCCTTATTCACGGTTACCTGTTCTATGGGAATAAGGCTTTGAGAGAAATTCGGCCCATATTAATCTAGAACAGTATTTCCTAGACAGGTATCTCAAAATGATCTGCTATTAGAGTGAGGCTGGGTCAACATCATATTGGGAAAAAATGAATTAGATATTAAAAAATATCAACAGCTCTTTCAACATCCACTGGGATTTTTTCCCTTGGAAATTTACATTTCTGTGCTTCTGGTTGTAGGTACTTGTCAGGTACAGCTGATACTCAACTCAATGACAGAGAAGGATGCTTTCCTACGTAGGATCAGACTTGTCAATAGATACCAGAAGCAGTCTAAAGGAAAGGTATGAACATAGGAGGAACCAAAAGGAGTCAGTGAAAGAAAGGGAGGAAGCCAGATAATGTGGCTATGTGCCAATAGGGTAATTTCAGCTTCAGGAATAACACAGCTAAAGTTCTAACTTCTACAACTACTGCAAATAGTGTGATATCCATTCCAGCAATGAGAACAATCCATCTGGTCTCCAATTTGTCACTAAAGTTGAAGCTACTATACTCTAGGCATACTGTGCTTCATCATAAGACCTCGTTATCTCTCCTTGAAACATTTTTCTTCTATTATCCCCCTTGTTCCAAACATAGGTGGACTAGCTTATATTCTGTAGAGGTACCTGAATACTAGACACAGTTCCAATCACACTGAGACCGTAACAGTTCAAAAAGGATGATGGTCAGTAGTGAAACTTCTGCTGTCATAAAGATAAGTACAAAATTAATCATGACCAAACTGGCTAATTCAGTGTGATTTGGTGGCTATGTCTACTCAATCTAACATGAAAAACAAAATCTCTTAATGTTAAGTTTGATAGTCTTCAATCAATTTACTGTAGACTATTTCTCTTTTGTTTCAACAAATCTGGAGGGCTATAAAGTTATTTAAAATCTTTTACTTTAACTATCCCCCTTCCAGCTTTATATTCATGCTCTTAAAATAAGGTAACTCAGGGAAACATACACACCTTATACAGAGTTTCATCCCAGATAGATGTTCGGAAACAAGAACATTCCAATGGGCGAGACAAACGCTTCAGATCTTCTTCTCGCTCTTTAAAAATCTGAATTAAAAAGTTCAACACATATAACAGCACAGGTTGTAATTATTTCAGCATATTTTAATTGGGATCTTTTGCTCCTTTTTAAATTTTGAGTATGTACATTATTTCACAGACTTCTTGTTGTTGCTGTCATGTGCCGTCGAGTCAGACCCAACTCATAGCGACCCCTCCTTGGCTTTCCAAGGCAGTATCACTACGGAAGTAGATTGCCCCATCTTCCTTTCGAGGACTGGCTGATGGGTTTGAACCACCAGCCACTCCTCAGAAGGAAGACTGGGCAATCTCCTTCTATAGAGATATCACCCCAAGGAGGGGTCGTTATGAGTTGAATCAACTCGATGGCAGTGAGTTGTTGTTTTTTTTTCCTTCAAGCTGATTATGCTGAATACTCACTGAGAATCACTATGTTGGAAAATAAAATTTACCATACACAGGAGTCTTGATAAAATATATCTTTATACCACAAACCACCAACTCTGGGTTATTTTTTTTATCCCTTGTATGCCTTTTTTTTAATTGTTGTAAAAATATATATAAGATCACATTTCCCAATTCAACCTTTTTTACATGTACAATTCAATGACATCAGTTACATCAACAACGTGTGTAACTATCACCAACATTCACCACCAAATTTTTTATCACACATCTGGATCATTTTAACTTGTTATTTTAGGTGCTGTTGAGTCAGTTCCAACTCATAGCGACCCCATGGACAATAGGAGACAACATTGCCCAGTCCTGCACCATCCTCACAATTGTTGCCATGCTTGAGCCCACTGTCACAACTACTATGTTAATACATCCTGTTGAAGATCTTCCCCTTTTTTGCTGACCCTTTACTTTACCAAGCTTGATATCCTTCTGACTGATCCCTTCTGACAACATGACCAAAGCACAAGTGGTAAAGTCTGGCCATTTTAAGATAGATATATTCATATCTAGATTTTGTAAATCAAAATACTTTAACCTTCATATATATCTTCCTCTCTTGAATACATATACACACTCATATACATATTACGTATGTACATATTGTATTTATCTTGATATATTCATATGACACACACACACATAGATTGACACACACACATATATAAATATCTATCTATGGTAGTTAAGGTAATGTGTCAAGTTTCCTGGGGCTGGTTTTGAGTGGCTGGGCAGCTGGATATACTTATTTCCCATGGGAGATTGGTAATTAACTCCATGGTGAAATCTACTGCAACAGCCGAATAGGGATGTGGGCTGCTTCCAGTATATAAGAAGCAACTTTGAGGAAGGTCTGCAGCTCTTGGCATACTTGAATTCTGCATGTAGCCAAGCTGTTTTTCAGCAGCCTGCCATGTTGTCTGCTGATCTTGGGACTGTTCATGGGACTTGAATCAATGGCCTGCTGTGTGGTTTGGTAATATCGGGACTGTGCTAATTTTATTTGTTGACCTTAGGCTTGTTAGCCTCAGATGCCAGTAGCTGCCTGAGTGAAGAGACACCTCTAGCTTCAGTGGGCCAGGAGCAAGAAGCAGAGATGAAGCCTAAGGTTGAGGGGCTTTCCCCTAGTACCTAGAGTTTGGCTACTTGAACATGGACTTGTAGCCTCCAAAACTGTAAGAGAATAAACTCATGTTTGCTAAACCCACCCAATTGTGGTATTTTTTGTTACAGCAGCATGAGAGGTAAACAAAACACTATCCATTTTGGATGTCTATCTATCTATATATGCACACATACATATGGAGAAATATCTATTTATACAAATAGGTACACATATATTTTTCCATGTGTTGGTGGGTTTGTCGTGTGTCTGTATGTATATATACACAAAAAAACATATATAGAGGAAAACATTTTTCTTGATTGAAACTGATCATTTAGAAAAACAGTCAAATAATGTTTCTTCAAAACTTTCAATCTGAATCTTTAATGAAATAAAGAGTATACTTTTCTTAATTAAGCTTAAAATTCCACAAAGAATATTAATATATTTTGGGATATTTATATGCAGATTTGGCAAACAATAAGATGATTATTCAAAATTAGAAGTGATTAAAAACTCATAAAAGAGAGTGGTGGAAGATGGCATCCTACTAACAGACCACACCAATTCCCTCTTTCAACAGAAAAACTCAGTGATACAGATACAAATAATGATCCTGGAATTATGAGCATCTAATGAGAAGATAAAGTATTAGATTTAGTAAGGACAGGAAAGGGGGGAGTTCAGGGTCTGGGGAAGAAAAAAAAAAAAACTAGCAAGGCTGAAGAGAAGCCATTACAAATGCAAAGAGATAGAGAGAGAAGGAAAAAAAAAAAACTTCATGGAACCCAAAGGTGTTAAAAACACAGGGTAATCAGATCGGGAGGATTTAAAAGTGAGCTAAACTATGTGTGTGGGAGAAAACCAGGTGTGGGAGAAGATCTTATAGGGAAATATATCAGACCTCCTGTGGCTTAAGCTGCTAAGGAGTCTGGAGGGAGTAAGGGAAAAGGAAGACAGATTCTCCCTGAATAAATGAAACCCCAAATCAGACCCATGGCAGTGGGCTCAAGTCCAACTCTTAGTAACCCTTTTTAGCACAGAGTGATCTAACTCCTGAGGTTTCAGGGCTTGTGGATCTTTGCAGAGGAGAGCTGACCTTTCTCCTGTGGGAGTCGTGGGGAGCTGGGGAATTTGAACTGCTGGCCTTTGATTATTGACCAAACATCACTATCAGCAAACACTCCAAACAGACCCAGGGGATGCAGCTGTCCTTTTTCCACACCTGCATTACTGGCTGATCTATCTCACACTGAGGACAAAAAACAAGCTTTAGCTCTCTCTCCTGGAAGTCACTTCTTGCGCCACTCTCCTTTTTCCTACATGGGTACACACTCCAGTAAATGAGCAGATTCTGCCACAAAAGGCACTTCCAGGGCTGCAGGCTAAACATAACTAGAAAAATCCCTTCTCAATTACTTTATCCTCTTTCCATTTTTCTAATTTCCTCTTCCCCAATTTTTCTTCCTTTCTATCCAATCATTTATCCCTCTACGTCTTCTTTCATTTTTAACAAAGCTTCACCACCTCACATCCCTTTTTTTTCTTTCTTATACTCTTTTCCCTTTTCCCTGTGTCTTATAGTGCCTAAGGCATTTGACTACCAACCAGAAGGCTGGTAATTCAAACCCAGCAGCCACTCCTTGTAAGGAAGGTTGGGCAATCTACTTCCATAGATTCAAAAGATCTAGACATACATACATACATACATACATATATCCTTCTAAGAACTCAAGGAAACCACTACTTCCATAGTGATGTTGTTGATATTATGTGTCATTGAGTCAGACCTGACTCATAGCGACCCTTCCGTGGGTTTCGAGGCAATATCACTACGAAAGTAGATTGCCCAACCTTCCTTCCAAGGAGTGGCTAGTGGGTTTGAACGGCCAGCCTTCTGGTTAGCAGTCAAGTGCCTTAGGCACTACACTACCAGAGCTCCCTCCATAGTGATACCACCTTGGAAATCCAAGGAGGGGTCACTACGAGTTGAATCTGAGTTTACAGCAGTGAGTTTGGTTTTTTGTTTTGGGATTTTTATTCTATCTTTTTATCTCTCCTGCTTCTCCTGGGTTTTCTTTTTCTTTTTCTTTCTTGCCTCATCCAAGGGGAAGAATACATTAGTTCTCCACTAGCCAGCCATGCCTACTACACCGACCACCTCACCCAATAGATGCGTAACACCAATAGCTTCTGCACTACAAGATCAATGACAGATGAAGGACAACATCTGGCCATCCCAACTGCAAATCTTCATGACACGCAGAGATCTGCACCCAAATTCCTACCAGTTCCTCCACCAACACAGAGAAACCTGGAGAGTGACTCAGTACAGTCAAGCTAATAAGCAAAGAAGTATACCTGCTTCAAACTTTCAGATATATTAAAACAAAGTAAAACATACAATCAAGGTGAAAGAAGTCATCAAATAACCAACAAATAAAGATATCAACATCAAAATGTCTCAGAGACAAGAGAAAACTTCAACTTAAACAAACAAACAAACAAACAAAAAAAAAAAAACCAGGAAAATATAGTAGAAACAAGTGTCCAAATTAAAGAATTAGGAAATCTCCCTGAGGAAGAATAAATAGTAGAACTATCTGGTAAGGAATTTAAAAGATATATACATACAAATACACATGTATCCTTCTCATAGCTCAAGGAAACCATAAACAGAAGCAAAGAGAAGACAGACCATACCCTTGAAGAATTCAGGAAAATCATTCAAGAACAAAATGACAAAAGAAATATAAAATTAGAAATCACACAAAAACAGCAATTAGAAATCCAGAAGATGAACATTAAAATTATGGAGATAGATAACACATTGGAAGGACAAAAGAGTTGACTTGAACTGGGTGAAGAATGCACTTCCCAGATAGGCAACAAATCTCTTTGGCACCAGCTTCTAAGCAGAAAAATCAGAACAAAGATTTAAGACAAATGAAGAAAACCTAAGAGTTATATGGGATGACATGAAAATAAATAACATACACCTGACTGGAATACCAAAACAAGTGGAGTTAAAAAAAAATCTGAGAAAATTGCCAAAGACTTGCTAACAGAAAACTTCCCCTACATGTAAATATCCATCCCAGAAGCTCAACAAACCCCATACAGTATAGACCAGAAGAGAAAGTCACAAAGACATATCATAAACAAACTTTCCAAAACTAAGGAAAAAAAAAGAATTTTGAGAGCAGCTCAGGAAAAATGAAATGTTACCTACAACAGGCAACCAAAAAAGACTAAGCTCCGATTTCTCAGCAGAAACCATGCAGGCAAAAAGGCAATGGGACAGTATATACAAAACCTTGAAGGAAAAGAATTGCCAACCAAGAATTATATATCCAGCCAAGCTGTTCCTCAAATATGAGGGTAAAATTAAGACATTCCCAGACAAAGAAAATTGAAAGAATTTGTGAAAGCCAGACCAACCCTACAAGAAATGCTGAAGGGA